AGTGATCCAAAGGGGCACATGCACCCCAATGTTTATAGCAGCAATGTCCACGATACCCAAACTATGGAAAGAACCTAGATGTCCATCGACAGATGAATGGATAAAGAAAATGTAGTGTATATATATACAATGGAATACTATGCAGCCATCACCCGCCCGCCCCGAAATCTTGCCATTTGCAATGACATGGACGGAACTAGAGGGTATTATGCTGAGCAAAATAGTCAATCAGAGAAAGACAATTATCATATGCTCTCATTGATGTGAGGAATTTGAGAAACAAGGCAGAGGAACATCAGGGAAGGGAAGGAAGAATGAAACAAGATGAAACCAGAGAGGGAGACAAGCCATAAAAGACTGTTAATCTCGGGAAACAAACTGAGGATTGTTGGAGGGGAGGGGTAGGAGGGATGGGGTTGACTGGGTGATGGACACTGGGGAGGGTATGTGCTATGGTGAGCTCTGTGAATTGTGTAAGACTGATGATTCACAGACCCGTACCCCTGAAACAATTAGTACATTATATGTTAATAAAAAAATTCTAACCATGTGTCTAGCAATTAGCAAGTTCTCAGTAACGATGCCAACTTACTCAACGTACACAAGCAGTACATTGCTTCATTTCCTGAGGGTTCACTTATTTAAATACTCCAACAAACCTACAAAGTAGGAATTCTAATTAGGTTCATTTTAAAGATGAGACAACAAAGGCTTAGGGAAGGTAAGCAGCTTCCTCTTTCATGAAGTCACTTATAAAAGTGAAGCCTGCTTTTCAGAGCTCTCTTTTTAAAAATTTTCTTACTGCTTATCACATTATCCTGTATAATCCTCTTTGGGCAACCAACTTGAGTCCTTTGCACGACGATGAAAATGGGGACAGGATGGTGAAAGTATTTCCGGGCATCAGTTGGTCACAGCAACGCCAGCCTATGCTTCCACGACAAGCACGAAAATCTCAGCATCTCACTGCAAAAGGTATTTCTTTGTTGTTCATTTCACCACCTGACATTGGTCAGGCTGCTTGCCCAAGGCACTCTTTTCAAAGGAGTAACTCAGCGATCCAGCTGCTTATAAATGATAGCCAGCATCTGGGACATGGAAGCTCATGTTCCAGATGCTATCTGTGATTTACAAGCAGCTGGATTGCCCCATGTTCACTGAGGCAAGGGAGAGAAGGTTGATAGATTGTACAGGGGGCTTTAAAGAACCAGGCATGGAAGCAACTTCTACCACATGTGTCTTAAGTCATCCTATGGCTCCAAGTGCAAGGAAGGCTGAGAAATGAAGAGGAATACATGAAGACTTGGTAAGAACTAATAGTTTCTGTGCAGTCTGTCCTTTGCTCACTGCTTCTTAAAATAGCTTAATGCAATCAACCAATCCCCAAGAGAGACCAACCCAAAGTCCTATAAAATCATTGCACCAAAATAAATGCCCAGGATCTCTGGATGGCAAGTGGTCCTCTCTGTCAGGTGAGGGCATGGATCTACTTTGTTCAGTGACCTCTGAATTTGCCCCTGACATAATATATCAAGTTTGAGGAGGACAGGTACTTGGAACCAACACCTTCATTGGTGGAGGGCAAGATGGCACACCAGTGGTCAGTGCTCTGTAGAGACCCTGAAGTCCTTCAGGCAAATGTTGTCTAAGTCCCTTACCTTCGGTTAGTCGTGATTCTGCAATCTGGGGAAGCTCTTTTGTCTTTTTGATCCTGGGTCCTGGTTGTTTTTGTGAGGTCCTTCCTTCTACATTATTCCTCTTGGCCACCTCTGAAGTGGTCATGGAAGGAGCATATTCTCCTACAGGGCTCTGCAGCCTTGGAAGATGGCTTGCTTGAAGTTTGTTTTCCTTTTGAATGGTCAATGGCTATGCGTTTTTAGTGCAGGATTTCATGGTTTTATTGGCAATATAGTCTAGTTCTCTTGAGAAATTAGCAGGCTTCTGATCTCTTTCCACCCAGCCAGATCTATCTGCCAGTAGTCACAGCCCATTTCTTTCTAGGTACATTTCTCAAATTATTTTTCTGCCTTTTCCTCTCTCCTCCTTCCTCTTAATGAGGCTTGAAATGGCAGGGTGACAACTTCAATCTGATTTTTGCCTTTAGTCACTGGTCCAACTCAGATTTTTTTCCTGGATTTTTGTTACTGAAATCTTTTTACTTTTTTCTTCTTAAATTAAGCCTTTTCTTAGTGTTTGGGACCTACAAATGACTACAGATGGCTTTTCCAAGAATGTAAGATTCTGTTTCATTGTTGCTTTAAAACAAGTCAATGCTTTCTTGAGTTCATCTCTTTCTCTCAACACCCTGACCAATGCAAAAAAAATCAACCAATGCATTACTAATGCATATTTTAAAAACTCTCTCCTTGGGGCTGTAATTTCAGCAGAGGACCCGACAGCTCTGACACTTTGTAACAAGATTCTCCATCGTTTCAACCTGAGATAGTTTCCTCACTGTCTGCTGCCAAATGTCAAGTCAATGCTACACATTTTAGGTTTCTACTGGCTACACACGATCATGACACCAATTCCTCTATTAATTGGGGTTAAGCTAAGCTCCCAACTTCATGGCTTAATATAACAAAGGATTATTTCTTTCACCTGTCACAGAGTAGGGTAAGCCATGTGGCTCTCTTCCAGTGGCTTAAGGACATGGGATGCCTCTATCCGAAGGCTGAGATAATTTGGAGCACGTTGACTCCAAGGTCAGCATGACAGAGGAAGAGAAGCCCAGAAGAATGAGCTGTCATGGGAAAATGGCTTACATCATTTTGGTCCTCACTTGGTTGGTTAGAATCCAGTCATATGGCCCTAAATAAATGCAAGGTAGGCTGGAAAATGCTGAAGAGCACATGAGCATGAGGTGGGCATTTACAACTTCAGCTCTTTCAAAGCTGGTGCATGTCCAATGGCCAAATCTAGGAGGTGGGAAAGTTCAGACCAAAGTCACTCTTCATGTCTAAGCCAGAGGCACAGATCAGGCCCAGAGACTGCACTGATCTGAAGGAGAACATCAGGGTGTACCCTTCACACTTCTGGAGACAGGGCTGGAAACCAGTTAAAAAGTTGGAAGGGGCACTTTGTCCACCCAACACTCTGTATTAGAATTTTTGGTGATGGTACTTGGAAATCTAAATTTTCATTAATGTCTAAGAGATGTTGATGCCAATATGAGACCATAAATCTCCATGGATGGGGGCCCAGTCAGGAAAAATAACTTGCCCTAATTTACTAGGCACATTGGTTTTACACCCAGACTGATTTTTGAGTCCCATTAAACTCCATGCCCAGTTGTGGATCAGCTTCTGTTCCTGGTTGTGGTTTCGAATTTCTCTTTAATGCCCTGTGTCCAAAGAGGCCCAATGAGGACAATGAGTTCAGAATTCCTTGAAAATGAATAGACAGTCTTGACAGGGAGAGTGTAATCAGATTCCTTTAGGCCTTGGGCACATGGAACCCGTCTCTTCTTGCTCGTCCTACGACCTGACACTGCTTGGTATTTGCCTGGACCACAGGGCTTGCTGTGTTTCATGGCACTAGAGTATCCCTCTTTAGCCTGGTCGGGCTACTGTTGTTCCCGACTGGCATTTGAGATGTTTGGGGTTGAGGACTATGGGGAGGTGGGGAGGAAAGGGCTGTTGGACCTGGCCTGAGCATCCACGAGTCACCTATGAATTGTCTGCTTGCCACCAAAGTGTCTGATTTCTCCTGACACCTTGAAATTTCTACAGGAGTTTTGAGCAACCCTCTCTCTCCAAGAAGCTCAGCTTGAAGTTATCAAGGGTTTTTTAGCATGTTGCCTTGTCATGCCCTCCTTGCTCATACCCTTCTGACCCTCCTTGCTCTCCCTCAACATATAAAGATAGAGATCTTTCTATGACACATGGTTCCCAGATGTGGAAGGGAACGTCTGAGGTCCTCTGTTGAGTCCCTCCTTGGTTCCTCAATGCAGGTGATACTTGCATTATTCTAGATTCAAGGGTTAGAAAAAAGAAAACCAGCCAGCTGTAAGACTAAGGCAACAGCTGAGGGGAGAGGCTCTTGGGAAGGATGTGGGATGGTGAGGAAGGAAATAATTTTGGAAAGGAAGAAGGTATTTGAATGAATGGCTGAAGCTGATGTCAGTTAGAGCTGTGGAGTTGGCCAAACCTGGCCCTAGGCAACCTGACTCCTTGCTGTGCAGGGTAGCCCAGCCTGGGGACAAGCCCAGAGTCCATCCTATGCTCATTCCCCCAGAACACAAGCTCCGCTTTCTGAAACCAGCCCTTCTCTCCCTGGTACTCCCACCAGCTTTATCTTGTCCTTTAAAAAGGTATCAAAGTAGGGACGCCTGGGTGGCTCAGTTGGTTAAGCAGCTCCCTTCGGCTCAGGTCATGATCCCAGCATCCTGGGATCGAGTCCCGCATCGGGCTCCTTGCTCGGCAGAGAGCCTGCTTCTCCCTCTGCCTCTGCCTGCCACTCTGTCTGCCTGTGCTTGATCTCTCTCTCTCTCTGACAAATAAATAAACAAAATCTTAAAAAAAAAATAAAAAGGCATCAAAGTCAAGTTTTATCCAAAAATATATTTTATGTAAAAATTCAAGAGTTGTACATATAAAAATAATCATTTCTAGAATAATCTTATGGTTTCATAGGGACATCTCCTCTTAAAATTTAGTATATGTATATTTGCTTTGATTCGTGCAAAGATCTACACAACGTTACAATGAGGTAGAGAGGAAGGGAGAGTCCCGCAGTTTTTGGTGGGCTGAAGTTATGGGATATGTCCAAGGGTTTACATTTAAAATACATTCAATTCCAGAGCACATTAAATTAAAATATTATCAACTTAGAAGACATAAAGAATTACTTAAGAAAAAACTATGATTCACATTATTACACAAATCTCATATTCTTTAAAATTATAATAGAACAATCTCAGAAGGTATGTTGGAAAAGATAAGGAACATAAATGAATTGTTTCCTGGGTACTGCCTTGGCTTCATTGTGGGCATGAATGTTCACGGCTTTCGGGTTTGGGTTTTCTTGTCCAGGTACTCCATGAGATCCCAGACCCACTTCTGCTTGGGGTCGGCACAGACGTCCCTGGCCAGTTTGGTCTTGAAGCTGTGGGAAGAGAGGGCAGTTAGACAGAGTGCACTGAAGATTCAACCTGGGAGTGTAACTCACTCTGTGGGAAATTGGCCTGTCCCATTAGCCTGGGGTGATGTGGGAGGATGATGGAAGGAACTCAGGGGAAGTAGCTACTTTTGCTTCCCCTGGGGGAAACCAGCCCGTGTCCTGGATGAAGGAACCGACATCTGAACTAACAGCTAGACAGGGAGCTGGGAATGGGAAGTCTCTATGTTCTCCAATTACCTTTTCCCACAAAAAATTTCTGGGATTGGATTACAGCTGGTCTAAGCATCTAGGGGTTAAATTCCAACTCGTCTTAATAATAACTCTATCCACTGCCTGGGAGCAGAACTCAAGGTCAAGGGTTGAGCGCGGGTGATCATGGCATCACTCACATCACAGCTTCCCGGGGACAGTAGCTGCTGGTGATTCTTCTGTAGCTCTTCAGCTTCTGGATGCGGATCTTCTTAGTGGCAAATCTATAGCAACAGGTGGCTGAGCTATTAATGCCGTCTGTTGAAACAACAACAAGGGTTATTTAGGGTGTGTGCTGGGACTTCCTATTTGTAACGTAGGGAACGGTAAGGAGGAGAGTCGAAGGAAAGGGATCCTGGCCACTCTAAGTGCTGTGTCTCTGGTCTGAACCTCTCAGTCTCATCGGCACGGACCGTGAAATGGAAGGATACCACCGCTAACTGCGAGGGGAAGAGGAAGTGGCAACAACTCTGGGTGTTGTTAGAGGGGCTCATAGGATAGCCCAATTCCTTAGGACGGGGTTCCGCAGCTGTGGGTCCCCCTCTGGTCTCTGAGCAATCTAGGCCTGGTTGTGAGTTTCCCTGATCCCCGATGCCTCTGCGGAGCCCTGTGTCTGGATGCTGGACTGAGCAAAGCACAGTCCAGATTCTGGGTCTCCTCCTTTCCCCTCTACCACCTCTGGAAATACCCTGCGCACCCTCCACCAGAGTCCCCCTCTTTTTGATCACCCCAGTTCCCCCCAAACATGGCTACAAGGAGCAGGGGCACTGAGGGGATGATGGTAGAGCTGGAGACCTGGAAGGACTGGATTTGGGGTCCATGGCTGGAATTCCCGGGAGCAACCGAGTGATCAGTTTCACTCCTTGTCCTTCTCTGACTCTCCTGATTTCGGAAAGCAGTCATGGACGGGAGACTGTGGGTGGTCCTCCTGCTCTGGTGGCCCATGAGAACCCAGAGGTGTGGTGATGAGCTTCGGGGGGAAAGCGAGAGGGGCTTACCTGGCTGGGCGAGCACCTGGGGGCAGAAGGCAGCAGCTATGAGCAGCAGGCAGAGAAGTGTGGCGGAGACCTTCATGTCGGCAGGGAGCAGGGAGCTTGGGCGTGAGAGCTGGAGGTTTCTGGATTGGTCTTAGCCTCTCTGCTCCTCTGGTGGCTCTGCCCTCCTTTTATAGGAGCAGACAGGAATAGAAAGAAAGTGAGTGGGTGATAGGCAGGACTTCATTTGGAATGAATCATAGGACAGAATGGTACATGTGCTGACCCATTGCTCTGCCCTGGGAAAGATGCTAGAAAATGAGAGAGAAGGCATGATTGATGTTGGCCTGCCTTCCACCGGATTCAGGGCTGGTATGCGAGGTGTGGGCTATGCCCAGGTGGCGTGTGACCTATGACTCTTACTAAGGGTTCTGCTTCTTTGAAATGAAACACTTCATGTAGAAAAAGAAAGGAAGTAGTGTTACCAAATCAAAGAGATGTAAGGGATTTCCCCAAATTTTCCTTTTCAGATAGCATCTCTAGGACACCTGGTTCCAGAGATCCTTTCCTGCTTTAAATCCTGCTGGCTTTTCTAAAATCCAAAAAATACAATAATAGAACATTAGCAGAAACACAGGTTTCAGTATTCTTAGAATAATACCTAAAATTGTAGTATCTATTGTCATAATCAACTTCCCTCTAACCACCCATCAGAAAACAGTGACTGAAAGCAAGGGCAATCGTTGATTTTGTTCTTGAATAAGCCAAGGCAGTTCATCCTCAGGGGTTTTTGTTTTGTTTTGTTTTGTTTTGTTTTTTGTTTTTACATCTTTGCAGCTGGGTGATGGCTGGGATTGAGGTCATCTCAAGGCCTTCACTCAATGTCAGGTGTCTGAGCTGACAGGTCTTAAACAGCTGAGGGTTGAATCCAATGGAATCTTCTCTCCCCCCCACCCCCATCTCTCCGGGGGCCCCTCTTCATAGCTGGATGTGGATATTTTACATGATGATTTAAGTCTCCCAAGTTCAGAGTTAGAGAACACAGACTACATCTCTTAATTCAATGAACATACAAGAGTTTGCAGGCAGGTTTTTAAACCACTACCTGTTCCATAGGCTACAAGGCACATAATAAGATCATGGAATGCTGTGGTTTTTAAAATATGGGATTAGCTAGGAAAATATCTTTCCAAGTAAAGCAAGGGAGGGAAAGCCAAATTTATGAACAAAATCAAAGTATACCTACTCAGTTTGAAGCAGAGACAGGAGTCTTCACATCCTTTCCCCCACATGTATTTTAAGGATCCGAAGACTGGATTTTGAAAACCAGTAGTCTGACTGCCCATCTCAAGCTGCTCCTCTCTAAACACACACACTACAAGCTTATCAGCCAATTGCTTATGATATCAATGAAAAAGGGGCTTGATGGGAAGCTCTCAGCTTTGTCCATCTTTTCTACTGTTTTTCAGTCTTTATTTATTTCTGCCCTGATCTTCATTATTTCCTCCCGTCTGCTAACTTTGGGCTAAGGTTACCCTTTCCCTGGTTTTTTGAAGTATAAAGTTAGGTTTTTTATTTGCGATCTTTCTTCTTTCTTCTTTGTCTCTTACAGCTTTTGGCTTAAAGTCTCTTTTGTCCACTGTAAGTACGACTACTCCTGTTCTCTTTTGTTTTGTTTTGTATTATTTTTTAAAAAGATTTTATTTATTTATTTGAGAGAGAGAGTGTCAGAGAGAGCACGAGCTGGGGTTGGGGGTTATGGGGCAGAGGGAGAGGGGGAAGCAGGCTCCCTGCTGAGCAGAGAGCCCGATGCAGGGCTCTATCCCAGGACCCTGGGATCTTGACCTGAGCCGAAGGCAGAAGCTTAAAAGACTGAGTCACCCTGGTGCCCCACTCCTGTTCTGTTCTGATTTTCATTTGCATGGAATATCTTTTCCATCCCTTCACTTTGAGCCTATATGTGTCCTTCAAGTTGAAGTGAGTCTCCTATAGGAAGCATATATTTGGGTCTTTTTTTTTCTTCTTCAATCTATTCATCCACATATGCCTTTTCTGGAGAATGTAATCCATTCACATTCGGTGAGTAACGATAGGTAAGGACTTGGTAATGCCATCTTACTGTTTTTTATTTTGTAGTTCCCTTGTTCCTTTCTTCCTCTCTTGCTGCCTTCATTTGTGAATTGATTATTTTCCATAGTGGTATGCTTTGACTCTTTTCTATTTATCTTTTGCATATGTATTATAGATGTTTATTTGAGGTTACCATGAGGTTCACATAATACATCTTACAGATTTAACAGTCTATTTTATGCTTGTTGCTTAACTTGGACAGCATACAAAAGCTTTACCCTTAGGGGCACCTGGGTGTCTCAGTCATTGATCATCTGACTTCAGCTCAGGTCATGATCCCAGGGTCCAAGGATCGAGTCCCGCATTGGGCTCCCTGCTCAGCAGGAAGCCTGCTTCTCTCTCTCCCACTTTCCCTGCTTGTGTTCCCTCTCTCACTGTGTCTTTCTCTATCAAATAAATAAATAAAATCTCTTCTAAAAAAAGTTTTGCCCCTTTATCCCTCCTTTTATGTTTACAACTTTACCTTTTTTTATATTGTGTAACCATAAACAAATTATTATAGTTATAGTTATTTTTTATAATTTTTGTCCTTTAACTTTTATAGTAGAGTTAAGTGTTTAATATATCACAGTATTCAAGTGTTCTGAATTTGACTATTTACTTACTTTTCCTAGTGTGATGTATATGTTTTCATGTTACTAATGAGCATTCTCTCCTTTCAGCTTGAAAAACTCCTTCCAGCATTTCTTGTAAGGCAGGTTTGGGGTAATGAAGACTTCCAGTTTTTGTTTGTCTGGGAAAGTCTCCAGATATCCTTCATTTCTGTAACACAACTTTTCCAGGTAGTGTTTTGATTGGCAGTTTTCTTCTCTCAGTGGTTTCACTATGTCATTCCACTGTCTCCCCAGTGTAAAGTCTCTGCTGGTAAATCCGGATTACTGTCCCAGGCTTCCTTTGCAAGTAACAAGTTTCTTTTCTCTTTCTGCTTTTAAGATTCTTTTTGCCTTTGGTTTTTGACAGTTTCATTCCAATATGTCTTTGGAGAAGAGCTTTTACAGTTGAGTTTGTTTGAGGACCTATGAATCTCATGAACTTGGATATTGAAATCTCCCCCCAGATTTGGGATGTTCTCAGACATTACTTCTTTAATGAAAGAAAGTAAGCTTTCTGCTTCCTTCTCCCTCCCTGTCCTTCTGGGACTCCAAATACTGCTTCTTTTGATGATATCCCATAGATCATAAAGGCTTTCTTCAGCCTTCTTTATTCTTTTTTCTTTGTTCTTCTCTGACTAGAACATTTCTAGGTGCTTCTTCACAAGTTCTTTCCTCTCCGTGGTCCACTCTGCTATTGATGATATCTATTGTGTTTTGCATTTCCTTCATCCCACCTTCTGCTCCAGAACTTCTTTTTAATAATTCCTCTCTCTTTAGTAAGCTTATTTGGTTTCTGGTTTGTTTTCCTGATTTTATTAAAAGGTCTTTCTCTGTTCTCTTGTAGCTCACTGAGCTTCCTTAAAAATGTCTATTTGAAATTCTTTTTCCGATCCATCCTGGATCTCCATGCCTTTGGGGTCAGTCACTGGAAAATTATTGTAAGCCTTTGGTGGTGTCATGTTTCCTTGATTTTTCATGTTCCTTGAAGCCCTGTTTTGTTTCTTTGAATTTGAAGTAGAAGCAGTAGTCACCTCTTCTGGTTTTCACTGACTGACTTTGGGAGGCAACTTCCTTCCATCAGCTCTGCTAGTGATTTTGAAGCTTCTTCAGAGGTTCTACAGATAGGACTGTTCCATGCTTCTTGCTTCCTCTTGTGACAGAATTCTTAAGCTTGCATGCCTTCGCTCAGTCCCAGTACACCCGGCTAAGTGCTGACAGTCTGCCATGCTTTCCCAAGGGTGGAGCTAGAGCCCATGTTTGTGGTCTCGCCCTGGATCACAGCTGCAGGTGGCTTTCTGTGCCTGCCCCTTAGCTGTCTGTCACAGCTTGCCCTTTCCCTTGTCAGGAACACTCACAGGAAGATAGCCATAGGTTGGAGGGGGTGTTTGGGTGAGGGTCATGGAGTATTGGGGGTGCCCATGGGCCATTTAAGGGGGATCTGCTGGTTTGACATCTTCAGTGGCTTGTAGGCAGGCTTCTAAATGGAGTCTGTGGTGTCATTAGTGGGATCCATGTCCCTTGAACCCCGTCAGAGTCTTATCTGTGTTTGGCCAGCTCCTTTTTGCCCACTCAGTCATGCAGCTCAATGAATCAGTGCTTCGGAGGAGGCAGGAGGCAAATGGGTCTCTTTGGCAACCCTGTCTTAGCTCAGGAGCTGGGGACGCTCCCCCCGGTGCTCTTGCTTCCCCCCACGGGAGAAATCACAGTTTAAAAGGGTCTCTCTTGGCTCTGATCGGTGTCGCTTTGGGGACGGAGGGATGCAGGTAATGTCAAACTGTTCTTCTTACCCTCTCCAATGCATGCAAACTTGACTTGTTGTTGTTGTTTTTCTGAGAGTGTGCTGGAATTTCTCTGCCTAAAACCTGGGCTTCCACAGATGTTCTTTCATTTGTAAGAGATTGCCTAGGGCAGTGCTTTCCAAGGGGCTCCCAGACCACAGCCAAGAGAGGTCCCTGCAGGTTCTGCAGCCAGGACTGGTATCTATATGCTTTTGACCCGATGAATGGGTGAGTGGCTCCTTCCTTGGCGCATGGTGCCAGATCCCACAGCCCCCAAAGTAACTTTTGTCCACGGATAGGTGCAAAATTGTTGTTTAGGGAGAGATATGAGCAAGGGACATCTTATTTGGCCATCTTACTGACTTCAGTCCTCTCTTTATTATCATTTTGTGATGCACAGAGAGTACCATTTTATTAGATACCCTTTTATTCTGTTTTTTTTTTCTTTTATTATATATACATTTTTAGTTATTTTCTTAGTGATTACTCTGAAGAGTAACATTATCATGTATCACAACCTGGTTAAGATTAATGTCATCTTAATTTCAACATATGAAAACTTTGATCCTTTGTAGCTCCACCCCTCCCCACTTTAAAGCTTTGATGGATGGAGAAAGGGGTCATGAGCTAAAGAATGCGGGTGGACTCTAAAAGTTAGAAAAAGCGAGAAAACAGATTCTCCCCCAGAGCCTCCAGAAGGAGTGCAGCCCTGCTGAGTCATTGCAAACTTCTGAACTCCAGAACTATAAGGTAATATATTTACATTGTTTTAAGCCATTAAGTTTATGATATATTGTTACAGTAGCAATAAGAAACTAATAGAGACTTTGATACTTGGAAGAGGGATGTTGCTGAAATGAGTACTAAAAAAATAATAATAATAATGTAGAAACAATTCTGGAATCCAGCAGAGGCTGGAAGGATCTTGAGTACAATAGAAAAAGCATAGATTTCCTGGAAAAGATCGTTGGCAGCTGCAGGAAATGAATACACCGCACTTGGCATTCCTTCTTAAACCAGGGCCTCTTGCCAGGGCTTCGTGTTCATAGTTTCGTCACACGGAGAGCAAGGACTCCCATGCTTAGCTGCAGGGAAAAAAAAATGGATTGAAGATTGAAAAAAAAAAGGCTTGGAAAGGGAATGTGAGCAGATTACTTTTGGGCTTGAGCTCACAGACAGACCCTCTCACAGCTTCCCCTCCTTCGAGACCCCCCACCTCAAATCTGCCTGGCTTCAGAGGGTCTCATGCTCAGTAAACTGTATGGGGATGTACCATTTGCTTGCCCTGCATTCCCTTCCGTCTCCTGGCATCCACTGCCACGAGGGATTTAGTCCTGGTTGGCAAACAAGGCTGCAGATTGGAGAGGTGGAGGAAAGGCAGGGAAGGCTGGTGGACAGGGCGTTTGGGTCAGTGAGCTCCATAGAAAACAGCCAATAAATCGTCTGCTGACTGATGCTTCAGCGGACTTTGGGGAATGTTACTTGGAGCTTTGATGGAATCCCTCAGCCCAAACCAGGGACCTGGACTGGCTTGGGGATGGAGAAACAGAATCCCGTTTTTTCCTCTTCAGCTCCAACTGGTAGAAATGGAAGTTTGCCAAGACATGCATTCGCAGATCCTCGAACCTTGGTTCTGTGGAGTTCCTATTTGTAACACATTTCATCCTCACTTTGCTGGTGGGGACTCAGAAGACTCAATCTGCCCTGAATGACAGAGTGAGTCAATGCCAGTGCTGGGATGAGAACTTGAGTGTCTCTGCCAGCCAGCGTTTTCCCCAGCTACAGAAGGCATTGCCCAGTCTAGCTTGATACACCAGCCATCTCCCCACCAGATTGGCCTGATGAATCTGCACATTTACCACGCAGAATTTATTCAGTAGGGCAAGATATTGGGGCATCTGTGTGGCTCAGTCTATTAGACAGATGCCTTAAGCTCAGGTCATAATCTCAGGGTCCTGGGATAGAGCCCCACATTGGGCTTCCTGCTCAATGGGGTGTCTGCTTCTCCTTAATCCTCTGCCACTCCATTCAGAGGGGCTTGTGCACCATGTTTTCTCTCTCTCTCAAATAAGTAAATAAAATCTTTTTAAAAAAGGGCAAGATACCTACTTTCCTTAGTGAAAAGGCTGTCTGTACCTAGAGGGATCAAATACCTTCCAGGTAAGGTTAAATGCCATCCAAGGGAGTATAGACCTTAGGCAGACATTCAGGAAAAAGAGGCTTATCCATATAAATGGATGATCCCAAGTTCCTTGAATTGAAATGGGGATAGTGGTGGACAGAAGTACATTCTGATTTCAGGGAAATTGTCTCCTTAGAATGTGGGTTATAGAAGGGACTTCTATGTCTTATGTGATAGTTCCTTCTCCATCTACAATGCACAGCATTTCACTCTACCTAGTTCATTCTTCTCCAAAGTTGCTTCTTGGGTTTCATATTCAGGCACTCATCACCTCTTGTCTCGATCATGGCAGTAGCCTCTCCCTTGTCCATACTTCTCCAGGCTTTTCAGAAGCCAGTAAGTTACATTTACTGACTCACTTCTGAGCCTCCAAACATGGCATGTCCTTCCACATTGGTGCAGACATTTTCAACACCTCCTTTTAACCTATGAGGTTGAGTACTGACTTACCACACTGACATTCAGAACCTTTGACTCAACATTCTTTCCTAACTTCCCCATCCCTTGACATAGATATGGACCCCTACTCCCATCTCATGGGTTTTCACCCTCTTTTATGTACATGTCATCATCATTTCTAACTCTAGGTATTGGCTTCCACTCTTTTTTCTCCTATTCTAAGGTTTTATTTATTTATTTGGAAATGAGAGAGAGAGAGAGAGACAGAGAGAGAGACAGAGAGCAAGCAAGTGTGAGGGTGGAGATGGAAGGGGAGCCGAGGGACAAAAGAGACTCCACGCTGAGCACAGAGCCAAGGCAGAGCTCAATCTCATAATTCCGAAATCATGATCAGAGCTAAAATCACCTGTTGGACAACGCTCAACCGACTGAGCCACCCAGACTTCCTCCATTTTTAAGATTTTATTTATTTATTTGGGATGGAGAAAGTTCTTCTTCCTTTTCTAAATGATACTGTATTTTTTTTCTAGAAAAATCTTGTGCATTCATCAAAGATAAGTTGAAGTCATATCTTCTTTATGAAATCTTAACATAACCATTTATCAATGGTCATTTAATCATTCCATGATTTCCCAAAGTTTGCAGTGTCTGTATTACTCTAAGTTGGAGATGACTTGGAGGAGGAGAGACTGGGGGCAAGTATCCCAGTTCAGGGGCAGTAGCATTAGGTTATGGGAAAGATTGAGGACAGGGGTCAAGGGCTGTGAGAAAGGAGATAGGGGTGTTGCTAAACAGGGTACAAGGATAACTAGGATCTGGGCAGTTGGTCTCGGGGACTGGAGTGGTGTGACTGGAATGCCTGACTGGGTCCGGCCTTAAAGATTCTTCTATAGTTACTCAGAGGAGCCTACCCAGTGGAAAAGACCAGGGCCAATGACAGTGTCATTCCTCCCAACACAAACCCACCCTCTGTAACCATATTCCTTCTTCCTCACCAAGATTATGCTCAGCTTTTTAATTTCCTTCAAGAAAACACCAGAAGTCAGATTTTGTACAAAAATATATATATATGTGTATATTGATCAATAGTTACAGAATATACATTTCCACAATACCATTGTAAGCAATCTTTGGAATTTAAAACGTAGTCTTGCCTTAATGATCCCTGCAAGGATCTTCACACCAGCCCAGGGGTTGGAACTGGGGCCCCCAGAAGAAAGTAGTTTGTTTCCAAGTCTCCATATTAAAAAAAAAAAAAAAAAAAACACACACACTAGTATTCATGGGAGATAAAATTAAAACATCAATAACTTAAATAAGATTAACATTACTTAAGGCATCGTGTGCATATCAATACAGTTCATACCCTTTGCAATTATAATAAAATATCACAGGGCATTTAGGGTAAGTTAGAAGAAAATAAATTAGTTTCAGATTCTTCGGTTTTCAGAGTGAGTATTCATGGCTTTGCTGTTTGGGTCTGGGTTTTCTTGTCCAGGTGTGCCATGGAATCCCGGACCCACTTCTGACTGGGGTCAGCGCAGATCTCCTTGTTAAGGAATGTCTTGAGGCTGCAGAGGAGAGAGGATGGAGTTAGATAGAGTCAAACTGAGATCTCTGCCTCGGACTCCAGCCCATTCTGCCCTGAGTTGCTGCCATGGGAATGAGAGGAGAAGGCAGGTGGAAAGAGGGCACCTAGGCAACTGTCCCAGTTTCAGCCATCCTGACTTTCTGCTAAGGAAATTGGGAGGATGTGTATAAGCTCCCAGATGGAGAGTGATGGTGGGGGTCTCTTTTGACCTTGTGGCCTCAATATTCCCATTGGGCACCGTTGGATATTAGATCAGATGACCCACATCTCTGACTCTAAGTTTGTAAGGCTTTCTTCTTGCTCCCAGAGGAAGAAATTGACCAGGGAGGGCTGAGGTGCTCAACTTACATCACAGCTTCTTTGGGACACTTGCTGCTGGTGACTCTCTTATAGCTCGCCAGCCTCTGCACTGAGATCTTCTTATTGGTGAATGTATAGCAGCAGGTGACTGGAGAATTAATTGCATCTGGAAATAAGACCACAAAGAAAAAGCATTTTAGGATGGACTAGATTCTTCTGATCTTAATCATAGCAGAAAGGAGCAGTAAGGGGAAGGCAAAGGGAAGTCAGGAGTGGAGGTAGGACCCATACATCCCAATATTTCTGCCTATGCTTCAGAGCTTGAATGTTACACGAACTCAGTTTCCTCTACTTTATAATGGGTGCATAGCATTGATAATGAACGGAGGGAAGCAGCAGTTGTTAAAACTGGATAATTCCTGGGAGTGTCCTTAATCATCAACCTTGGGAGGAACAGATAATCCAAATATCCAGGGTCAGGGAAGATCAGCTGAGGGTCCCCCTCCAGGCTCCAAGTTATGAGTTTCCCTGACCCCCGATGCCTCTGCGGATCCCTGGCTCTGGATGCTGGACTGAACAAAGCACAGGCCAGATTCTGGGTCTCCTCCTTTCCCCTCTACCCTGCGCACCCTCCACCAGAGTCCCCTCTTTTTGATCACCCCAGTTCCCCCAAAACACAGCTACAAGGAGCAGGGGCACTGAGGGGATGATGGTAGAGCTGGAGACATGGAAGGACAGGTTTTGGGGTCCATGGCTGGAATTTCCGGGAGCAACCGAGTGATCAGTTTCACTGATTACTCAGTTCTTCTCTGACTCTCCTGATGTCAGAAAGCAGTCATGGACGGGAGACTGTGAGTGGTCCTCCTGCTCTGGTGGCCCATGAGAACCCAGAGGTGTGGTGATGAGCTTTGGAGGGAAAGCGAGAGGGGCTTACCTGGCTGGGCGAGCACCTGGATGCTGAAGGCGGCAGCCGTGAGCAGCAGGCAGAGAAGTGTGGCGGAGACCTTCATGTCGGCGGGGAGCAGGGAGCTTGGGCGTGAGAGCTGGAGTTTTCTGGGTTGATCTCAGCCCCTCTGCTCCTCTGGCTCCTGGGGCTGCTCTGCCCGCCTTTTATTGAGGGTAAAAGAGGGTGGAGCTAAGAAAGAAAGTCTGGCCCAAGGCAGCATCATTCTTAATGAATGACGAAGAGGAATCAAAATGTGCTGAGCAAGTGTGGGGCCCTTGGGAGGTTTCCAGGAAGTAGGAGGAAGCAGTGAGTCCGGGCGGGACACTTTTTCTATCTGCTGCTAAGACCAGCAGAAGTGGAGGTGGGCAGTGAACAGTTATGCCCAGAGCGACCACAGATGTGAACAAAGCAGATTATTCCGAGGAATTCCACTTTCTCTGAAGTGAAAACTCTGCAGTAAAAGAGGAAACAAGGAAAGAGAGGTCACAGGAGAGGACAGCATCTCAGGCTCCCCCTCACTCGCCTGCCTTTAGGCAACAACCCATGAGGTTTCCAAGCCAGGAATGGGTCCTGATGCCTTCTTGCTGGGCTCCCCAGCAGTGTACTAAATCCATTTGCTTCTTAAAATTCAGCACAATGGAAGCTTAGTAGAGCTATAGGATTTTGTAACCGTAGAACCGAGTTCTAAGGATCGCTGGGTTTAAGACTTGGAAGAAGCCATATAGATCATATAGGGCTACAAAGAAATTTCCATGTCATACTCAGACAGTGCTTACTCTGTGCTGGGAAGACCCTAAGCCCTTTACAAATGCCAGGTCTTTCAATTCTCCAATCCCACCCGGTAGATATTGTTAATTCCCATTTTATGGATTAGACAACCGTGGCACAGAGGGGTTAAATAACCTGCCAGGGTTCCCAGGGCACAGTGTCTGTGACTCATCATCCAGCTGGCTGTCTGCTGATACACCTGGGCGTCCTCTGTCTTCCACATCTGCCCAATTAGCAGACATCGAAAGGCAAACCGAAGAACATTCCTTGTGGTTTAAGTCGCTGTGGGATTTGGAGTCTGTGGTTAACAGCACAGGCAGCAGCACCAAGGGCATCCCTGTTGTGGGGGGCTGGTATCCCAGGTCCTTTCTGTTTCCCAGGGAGCCCGAGTGAGCAGAGGAACAGTATTACAGGATTCAAATGCCTGCCTTAGCGCTATCCCCAGAAACCCCCAAATCACCATCATAAAACCCTAAAGACCTTCATACTGATTTCAGCGAATTCCTTTCTTTTGCAAATATAATAGGATTCCACGAGGCCCCTTAGCGACTGAGTCAAGCCTGAGACTAGAACTTGGGTCTCAACTCTCTCCTTCCAGGGCTTCGTGCTTCTGAGCTCACTTTTGCCCAGTCGGCCATGGAAGGATCTAGTGACTCTACTTTCTTAAAGGATTGTGGAGACGAACCCTCTGAAAAGCCACAGAGCTTCCCAGAAGAAATACTTGCCAGTCACTACCTGTGTGATAAGAAATGTGTCCTCCTGAGCACGTGACCGTGTCTGGTCCACAGTTGGTGGTCAGCAATGGCAAGGGAAAGGGAGAGCCGCTGGTTTGGAGTGCCTCCCAGCAGCCGGGCTCTGTGCTGAGGGCCTTCCCAGCATTGCCTCAGTCCTCCAAACCCCCCATCTTCCTTGGGTGGAGAATCGAGGTAAATAATTTGTCCAGGATCTCATGGGTAAGAGCAGGTGGAGACGGGCTTCCCACCCAGGATGCCCTGACTCCAGAATCCTTACTCCCAGGTGCTAGGCTTGTCTCCCGATGGATGCTGGTTTCCTAGAGAATCTGAGAGCAGAGACTCTGCAGAGAGACCATTCTAGACTCTTGGGTATAATTGCAAAAACGCAGAATAAAGAGAACAAGTCAATACGTGTGCTGCTTGGCTTGTACCCCTCCCGGAGCCTTATTTTCATTCTGTCTTGCTAGTCCTCTAACCCCCTGCCCTCATCGAAAGCCCTCTGCATTGGGCTCAGTGCTCTGCCAATCCATTCTTCTTGGATGAATAAAGCATGTTTTGGAATGTAGACTGTACAGTTTCACCCATGTCTTCCCAGACCACCTCACCTTAACTTCCCAGGAGTTTTCCCTCATAGTAATGAAAACCCTTCCCTAATCACTCAGTTTCCCCTGCCATGGGCTGGGAGGGTTGGATCCCATTTCCCTGAGGAACCCACCCATTCTTTGGGTTCTGTCCAGGTGAACAGGTTTAAAGATGCTGAGATCCTGGGTCAGCCATGTCCTGGTCAAGCCTAGAACCCTGGAACCTGGAGCCAAAAACTCTGGAGAGATGGCGAGCTCCCACATCTTCCCTTCCATGTGAGGAAACCGTATTCCAGAGAGTGGGGGTGGGGGGAGGTGTGGGCAACTGACCAGGGTCCCACAGGAAATCTTCTTGGCTTTTCAGAGTATTTAGATGGACCTCTAATGCTTTGAAACTAAGTCTCTACTTCCAAGAAGGATCATCAGTTTTGGAAAGTGACTTGGTCTCTGCCGAGTGTGAGACAGTAAACAGATCCAAGATGGGAGGGTGGGAATAGAAGAGAAAGTTTCTTGATAGCTATCTTCCTCCCACCTCCTCTGTCAAGCAGAGATGCTCGCCTCAGCTGGAAGGTCAGTCACGGAGGAGAAACAAGTGGAAATTCCCACTCTGAGGCAGCTCTGGAAGTTCCCAGATCCCATGGAACACAATGCGTTTGGCTGGAGCCTGCATTCCAGTTGCTGGGCCTGGAGCCAAGGCCATCTCACGTGGAGCCATGCTGGGAATGTCCCAGCACAAGATCTGGGTTGGGTCCCTGCTCAGGAGCATACAAGGGAAAGGCCCAAAGAAGGGTACTGAGAGAGGCAGGGTCAAGGTTTGGCAACTCCCTGAAATATGCAGTCCTCCCCGGGCCCCTGCCCATCCCCTCAGAGATGAGGAATGGAAAAGTTCTTCTTGGTGAATAATCTCTTTTCCTTTCTTCCAGTGGGCTGGCTCCCCACAGGCATCCTCCGCATGGACTTTTGTCATCATCCCAGACTCCCACTCACCGTCAGGGGTGACGGAAAGAGGAAATAAGACTGATATTCTAGAAATATCAGAAACCAGCACCTGGCCTTCTGCCTCAGCTCTCTTCTACAGGTCCCTTGCTTCCCCTCTCCATCTAGCACAGTGCCCCCTTGCCTGTGCTTTCTGTGTCCCTTCCCCTCCCCCGCCCTGCCACTTAGGCCTTTGAGTGAGACCCACAGTGGGCTCTGCACTGGTTAGTTCCTTCCTAGACACCTCCTCCAGGTCTCCTTCCAGGTTTGCTTTTAGCTCCAGGGATACCAGAGCCGATTTTCCTGGGCCCCCAACTCTGTGACTCCTATCCTTTCAAGGACTAGAAACCTTTATTCTTGTGCAGAATGCCAGATGAGCACAGGACCTTAGAGATCATCTCCCTGTTTTCTTGATGAGGAAAGCGAGGCCGAGAAAGAGGCAGTGGGAGGCCTGGTTGGCGTGGAAGGCGGATGGCAGAGCGTGTGTTCATTTCCAGGCTTCCAGTGCCGCACCCCTGTTCATAGCCCGCGCTGTCTCCCTAGCAGAGCATTCGTGCAGGTAGCAGCAGGAGGGGGACTGAGGTAAGCCAACCAAACATGAAGCTTGTTTTCCGGAAAGAATGGTTAAGTATCCATGGGCAGTGGGGCTGAGTGAAGTTCACCCCAAGCTTCCAGCGTGTAGGCATTTCCGCTGGATCCTCTGTCCTGGGCTGGATCTGCCCCAGGTTTATTTGCATGCAGGACTCATGGCACTACCTGAGGGGGTGGGGAGGGGTGCATGGTGGTGGAGGGGGGCAGTCGGGGAGGTGGAGATAGCCTTGGGAAGAGAAAGGGAAGATTCACCTGCAGTGGCCTGGGTTGGTTGTGGGGAGGGAGTGGTGTCCCAGCCGAGCCAGGGGCTGGTCCCTTAGACTCCCCTCTGGGCCAGCCCCCATGGAGCAGCACCTGGGCCCTGCAGTGAGGGGCTGCCCCGGGCCAGGGGGCGAGTGGAAAGACACTGTTGGGATAGTCACAGCGTGAGTCACCGCAGCCCCTCCGAGAGACTGTAGCCAAGGGGAGCAGAGTAGGGAAGAAGTCACTTTCCTCAGTTGGAGATCTCATTGCCCGAGGTGGCCTGAGCAGTGTGGGGGTGTGGGGGTGGGAGTGGGGAGGGTGGCTGGTGTGTGAAGGTGCTGACCTGGGGGGTGGACCTTAGGGACATGGAGGTCATGAAAAGCAGGCAGATAGAAACAAAGAAACATTTAACAACCTTACTGAATTTTTGCTTTCAGGGAGAGTCTGGAGACAAACGGCAATTACAGACTGGATAGACAGGGGGCTATGAGTCCCCGCTAAGGGCTCTGGAAGGTTTTGTGGTGGCTCCCTTAAGATGGGCACCCGGGTTGGGTTGGCAGGTTCTGAGGTTTGGGGGATTTTTCGATGGGGGAGGGGCACATTTTGGAGGTGACTTGCAGCCACTGCAAATTTAAAACCCTGGCACGTCCCCTTGGGATTTTGTTAAAGTGCCAGTTCTGATCTCCGGGTCTTGGGTGGGCCCGAGATCTGGCATTTCCAACCAGCTGCCAGGAGATACTGATGATACTGGGCCAGGGTCCTACTAGAACAACCTTAAAAGGATCGAGTGTGGGAAATGCTGGTCAGGTATGGGGAATAGCGAGCAGTTCATGCTGTCCAGTTCATGGTTCTTATCTGGGGCTCTTGCCTCTTGGCTAGGCTTTGAGAACCATCTGGAATTGTCTTCCACACTTATGTGTTGTGTATTTCTCTGGAGAGAGCGACCCATAGCTTCCATCAGATTAGCAAAGGCATCTGTGACCAAATAAAATTAAGTACCACGGAACCTATCAAAAATACAGAGTTCTGGTCTTCACCCCAGACCCGCTGAATCACAATCTGTAATTTTATGATGTAAACCTATATTTTTTTCCTAAGCTGTCCCTCCCACCCCTCCCAGCCATGTTTGGACAACCCTGGCCTAAAGCATGAGGTACAGAAAACAGGGGCGGTGCTGGCCAGGCTGGGTGGCCCCAGCAGAATGAGGCACAGGTAGAAAAGGGTAAAGAAACAAGAGGAGAAAGAGTGAGTGAAGGACAAGGAAGAAGAGGCCC